ACGGCCGACAGCGGATTTAGCAGGGCAAGCCTCTACGCACAGTTATGCGGGGTTTTGATTTCATCTGAGATGCTAAGACGATGGAATCGGAATGGGACAAAAGAACAGGAAGTGGCCCGGTTAGGTGGAGTGCGGAGGAAAGGGACGGATTCGTGAGGTTAGAACGTGGATTTTGGCGTTGCGTAAGGCTTGAATAATGAGATGTTCCAGAAAAAAGACAGATTGTGGTAAAAGTGGCTGATAAATGTTTGTTTATTATGAGATTTAGAAAACCGACAGTTGTGTAATTGCGAATTCCGGGACGAATTTATCTGGATTTTTTTTATTTGGATATTACAATCGGCCGGAAATTAATTCCTTCTCTGAAAGAGGTAAAAAAGTTACTCCGGAACTGCCACCGTACTAATTTCAAACATTTAAAATTTTCTGCAGCAAAACCGGAAACAAAAAATTAAATTAAGTGCAGCAGAGAAGTAATTTACGAAGTCGTGCAAGGAGAGATAACTGATAATCCCATTTTTAGTAAAATCCCAGAGGCTTTGGAAGTTAATATGTCAAAAGTAGATCATCTCTTGGTTGAAATAGAACGAGAAGATTTGCGTGAATCCGAAAGCAGAGAGAATTCCATCGTTATCACCAGATGATTTAAAGAAAAGTCGAATGTTTTAGAACAGAAGCGAAACAAGAAAATTATTTTTGAGTAAATTCTTCTCTGATTTTATACAATTTCTTAATGCCAATCCAAACAGTTATATGTCACCGATTTTTCTTGCGTCTCGCCTCAGCAAATTTAATGCAAATTCCAACAAGTCGCGTCCGATTAAAATAACACTCAAAGATGACCAAGAAGTATTTATTGAGTCTAATAAAACGAAACCGGACTAATATTGAAAGTAACTCTCGCTTTAAATCAATTCTAGTTCAACTTCGAAAAATTGACAAATTGAAAAAATCCCAAAACTAAAATGTCGAATAACTGGGAAATCGAAAAGACGACAATTCGAAACATCGATAAACTGAGAAATCGACAAAAATTAAACCATCCAGAAACCGAAAATTGAAAAGTTTGAAAAATCTACAATGCGAGAAGTCGACAAATCGACAAATTAAAATAGCCCAAAATCGAAAAATTGAAAAATTTAACATTACAAAAAATAGGAAAATTGGTAAATAGAACAATCGAATAATCGAAAAGTCAAAATCCCGATAAATCGAGAACTCGAAAAATTGAAAATCTACAATTAAAAAAGCGAAATACCTACTGAAAAATCGCAAAACTCAAACATGGAAAAATTGATAAATAGAAAAACTGAAAAATTGTAGTATCGAAGACCTGGAAAATCGAAAAATTAAAGAATTAAAATACTGAAAAATCAAAAAAAAAACCGAGAAATCGAGAAACCGAAAAATCTAAAATTTAGACAAATGAAAAATTGAGGAATCAAAAAATTGAAATATTGTCAAATTGCAAAATCGCAAAACTAAAATGTCGAAAAATTGGGAAATAGAAAAACTGGAAAATCCAAACATCGGAAAAATGGAAAATCGAAAAATCAAAAACCGACAAATCAAAATACAAAACTAAAAACTGAAATACTTATTTTACATTAAAAAAAATCGAAAAATGGAAAAATCAAAAATTTATAAATCGAAAAATTAAAGAATTAAAATATTGAAAAAACAAAAAAAAGGAGAAATCGAAAAATCTAAAATCTAGGCAATTGAGAATTAGAAAATTGAAAAATCAAAACATTGAAATTTTGACCAATTGGGAAATCCCAAAACCAAAATGGCGAAAAATTAGGAAATCGAAAAACTGAAAAATCCAAACAGAAAAATCAAGAAATCGAAACATGAAGAAATGGACAAATCGAAAAGTCGGGAAGCTTAAAAAAGGAAGAATTCAAATAACCCAAAATCAAAAAATAAAAATTGAAATATTTTACATTAAATAAAATCAAAAATGGAAAAATCAAAAATTTTAAAAGTCAAAAAACCAAAAATCTAAAACCGAGAGTCCAGAAATTGAAACATTGAAAAGTCGAAAAAACGAAAAATGGGAAAACAAAAAAATCGAATAGTCGTAACGTCGAAAAATTCCAAAACTGAACTAACGAAAAACTGAAAAATCGAAAAGTCGAATAATTGAAAAATTTTAAAAATCCAGAAACCGAAATGTTAAGAAATCGAAATATCAAAAAACTGAAAAATCAAAAATTTAAAAATTCGAAGAACTGAAAAATCGAAAATTTTAAATTTAAAAAACTGAAAAATTAAAATTTCGAAAAATCCAAACACAATTGAAAATGCGAGACTGAAAAATTCCAAAAGTGAAATGAAATATTGGAAAATCGAAAAATTCAAAAACTGAAATATGGAGAAATCGAAACATCAAAATAACAAGAAGTCGAATTGAAATAGAACAAAATCAAAAATTCGCAAAATTGAAAAATCTCAAAACTAAAATATCGAAAAATTGATCAATCGAAAAATTGTAGAATGCAAAAATCGAAAAATGTCAAAACTGAAACGTCGATAAATTGAAAAACCTAGAAATCGAAGGATCCAAAAATCGCAAAGTTGAAAAATGGTGTAAGACGATTCCTGGCCAGATAGCGGCTTTAGCGCAAATTATCAACAAATATTCATTATCAATGACGGTCAAACGGCTACAGCCAATTGCAAACTACAGATTCACTCACCCCTTACATGTGACGCTCTAGTGCAGGTCCGGCCCCGCGACAATTCGGCCCCAATCACGAATATGAAAACAGACACACCTGACTTATCTGTCGCTAATGATTAAGAATGGGGTCACTCACCGGGGGGTCTCCACCCCCTAGCCCACTCCTTGTAGATCAGCGGTTCCAACTCACGGCGTCGTCTTCAGCGCGCAATCTTCTGGTGATGTAGTCGAGTTATCTGAAATCGCCCTAGCCGTACAGTTTGGGATGTACTGCCCGCCCACAGCCCCCTCAGAAGGAGCGCTGTCTTGGCCAAAATGGAGAGGACACCTCCACGTCCATACGTCACTATGTTTCCTCCAGAAACCGGGTTAATCTCCCAACCTAACCAGCAAACGTATTCTCTGTTGCATTCGGTTGCCACCACCGCCACCACCGGTCGGTCAACAGCCAGGACACCCCTTTCACGGCTTTCGCCAACCTGCCGTGTCATGAGCCAAAGGCGCCCCACCTGAGTACGCCCTCAGTGCTCAGGTACATACCATGGTATCTGCCGGAGATTTTACGCGTTCACATTACTCTCGTGGCCCCAGGTTCACCCTAACCTGCCACCTTCTCTTATCAACACCTTAACACCCAACTCTTTGGGCTTAACACTCAACCCGAGTCCGGCCCTGTCACCACACAGCTGGGCCTTCACGCCCACCGCTATTTTACACACTCTCACGGACTCTGACTAACTCGGACTAACTGCCCTCAAAATACACCCTCTGCATCTGAGATATGTGTCTTAAGTGGGGGTTAATTATTAAATCTGATTGGTTTTGTCGACTTAAAGACCTGCACTAAAAATTCCGCTTACAATGGAAATTTTAAAAAATCGAAAAGCTGAAAAGTCGAAAATTTGAGGAATTGAAAAACTGAAAACTCGGAAGTTGAAAAATCGAAACATCGAAAAGTGGAGAAATCGAAAAATCAAAAAATCGAAAAATTGATTACAGAAGAAATCGGAAACACGAAAATTTAGAAACGACAAAAATTAAAAAATCAAAATATCGAAAAATTGAGGACTCAAAAATTAAAGAATCGAAAAATTGAAAACTCGTAAAACTAGTATATCGGAAATGAGACATCGAAAAAATAATTTTTGATAACAATTTACCATACTTTGCATAACTTTCAAACGTTTGCAAAATTTCAAAACATTTTGCAATTTCAATGTTAGATTATATACAATTTTTTTCCAAAAATCTGGATACCTACGCTAAAAACGCAACACGGATTCATAAACCACAAGTGGAGGAATACGTTATTTTATAATATTTAAAGGGAAGCGAGCCATGAAACGTCGAGAAAACATGAAAGTAGGTAGTCGCCCGACGGGCTCGATTACAATACTTCATTAACTTACCCTCTAGAAGTAAAAATCTAATTTTCGGGGATCGAATTTTGACTCGACGAGGGTAGGTAAACCAGTGTCGAGGCTTCGGGCTTTTGACGGCAACATAAATTCGCATCGGCCTGACACGAAACGCCGCTAGTTTTTCGCATGAGCCTGATCTTGTAAAGCAACAGAATTAATCCTTTTAGCTAATCGTAAAACGAGAGAAAGCAGAGAGCTCGTAATCGGATGGAGCAACACAAAGTGTTGTTTATCGTAATCCGACGAGAAGCGGAAAACGATGCCCCGAAAGAGGGAAGGTGGGCGGAAAAATAATTTTTTCGGCTTGTTCGAAGCGAAAAACGCTCGTGAAAGTCCGCGGATTCTTAATTCGGCGGATCAGGCCTTGAGAGCACGTGTACGGAGTGGCTCGTTATGGATCTGTTTGTTGTTTTCGACGATAATGGTGCTATTGTTCGGCCATGGATTGAGCATTCCGAGACAGAGGGGACGCGAGATGCACTGTTGACCGATTTCGGACGCCGGGTTACGGCGAGATGAAATTGATTTCGTGTTGACGAGGTAATAAATTGCTTGATGAAAATGTGTTGTATAACGAGGTTTCAAGAGAGTATTGTTTGCGTAATAATTCTGTAATTTATTAGTAGCTGGGCCCAGCGAGGCCTTATGTAATGGAAAACAACTTGTATACTCAGGATCACGAAGCAATGCGTACACGTCATGGATGACGTAGATCCGTTACCAACACTAAATCAAAAATACGCGCCGCAATACGTGGCAATACGGATCAAAATCAATCAATTTGGGGGAAATTATATTGGTACGACTGATAGCGAAACATATGCTAAAGTTTTATCGATTTCACAAGTGTCATTGGTGTCAACTTTGGTTATGTTGTGTTAGGTATTGTTTGATTTTTCGCGTTTTTCTACTTTTCTGCTCGTGTAATCGTATCAGTTCTTTTCAGAACTATAACAGTTCTTTTTAGAACTCCAAATTAACTGTCGTATACCGTGGTACGTGTCGCTTGCTTGAACGTAAACATTCCACCATGCCGAAGCCCTTGCACAAAGATGCAAAGCAAATGGTCGCTAATTTAGTGGACTATTTTGCTAAAGAACGCGATAGCGGGGGACCTCTTTTACCACTAACAGCTGTTCAAGACGTAAGTAGGTGTATTTTATTACAATTACTAATGCAGTCACATTGTACAGAGGGTTGCTGCTGCTCTGGGTGTATGTGTGCGAACAGTGAACTCCATGGTACAACAAATAAAAACCGCAGAAGCTGTACATTCTCCCAAGAAATAGAGACCCCCGAACAAAGCAAGTGTGTGATATTAGCACTTCGGAGCAGTGTGCTATTCGAGAATGCTTATATGGAATGGTCGAAAAAAGTATGAATTTGATGCGCACGCCTTATAGATACTAACGATTATTTTACAGAAATACATGTTACACGATCGTCATTACTTGATTGCTTGAAGGAGAAACATATATTTGAAGTTTCTCTGAGCTCGTTAGGAAGAATTTTATATTCTCTATTGGGTTTCGTTATTCTCCAACAAGTGTACGAAGCGTCTTATGGAATTACATGTTATTCATGCAAGAACCAAATTCTTACGTGAATACATGGACAATCAGCAGAACCCAAATCCTTTGCCATGTGATCTTGATGAAACATGGATATTTGAAAATGGTTCGGTAGTTAGGTCCATGGCAAGACGATAGTGTCAAAAGTATCAGGACGTTCAAAATAGAAGGCAAAAGTTAGTAATGTGTCAGTTTCACGTTGGTTATTTATTCTTCTCACTATATTTTAGATATATTGTATTACATGTAGGTACAAGCAATGGATTTATTGATGAAGCAGCTCTGGTATTTTCTTCTAATACCAAAAATCCAGACTATCATGGCGAAATGAATCAACAGAATTTTCTCAAGTGGTTTCAGTTACTCATGAATCTTGAAGAACCATCACTGATTATTATAGACAATGTAAGCTATCACAGTACCCTTGCAAACAAATGTCCCAATGGTTCATGGAAAAAAGCAGAAATTCGTGAATGGCTTTAACAACATGACATAAGTTCAGATCCACAGCTGTTAAAAACGGAACTTCATCATTTGGTTGCACAGTAATGCATATACTATTCTCTATCGTTTCATTTAAAATATCATGTTTTTCAGAAATAAACATCCAAGAACGTATGTTGCCATGAATTGGGCCAACAGAATGGCCATAGACTATTGCGATTGCCGCCATATCATTGTATGTTTAACCCTATAGAAAATATTTGGGAATTACTACAAATTTTTATTCCAAACACATTGGGCATGATGGTTATGGTTAAAAAAATTCCGTGGGAATGTGGAAAGAAGCGTTAGCACATGTCACGCCCACAATGTGGAAAAATACTGTTGACCATATGAATAAAATAACACGGGAGTGGTGGGAACGGGAATTCAGATTATAGTTTTAGTGATTATGACAGTGAAGATTCTAATACTGCAGAGGGCATTCAGCCACTGTAACATGTAGGTTATTTTCCATTACCATCCTAATTGATTGTACTAGCGACATGTTCTGCTGATGTCTTTTATAATCACACTATCACTTCACTGGCCAAATATACAGATCACTGGTCAGATGAAGACGTTGTGCAACATGAATACTTATTATTATTTATAGTTTACTTTTGTATCTATTCCATGTCAATAAAGTAACTTATTCTGTAGATGTGACGTGGCCATTGTGGCATTGAAGACGGTAAGCGTATTTCTCTAACTTGAAGCCTGTCACAACTGTTCAATGCTGTCTGTTTGAGACGTATGTTGACATTCTCGTTGGTAGCTTTAAGTACAGTATGAAGCCTTGTACCACCCTCCAAGTATGTGTTTAACACCCAGTTGTCAGCAGTTTTTACCAGCAGTCAATGCAAAAATGAATGTTCTTAAAGCCAGTCATTCACGTTCCAACGCCGGGGTACGATTGTATTGGATACAACTGCTGTACAATTCTGCTAACAAGCAGCAGTACACACACGTTACGACCTTGCAGTTAAAATTTTGCGATCGTAGTGGCAACATGTCTGAAGAAAATGGACTTTTATAGCTGCTTTCACGGTTTGTATAACGTACACTGTCCACACGATCAAATTTCCATCCAATACAACACGATTGTACTACTGCAGACAGACTTGTTCACCAACCGTCCACATCCAACCGATTTGCTTGTCGCATACACAGACGTTCAAAAACACTTCAATTTCGTCATATCCTACACAATAGCACCGCGGCGTTGGAACGTGAGTGGCAGGCTTCAGTGACTAGGAACACGTGAAAGGGGTTACAGTCATGATCTTTCCTGTGCCTGAGTTTGTAATTTATAGCGTCTATGCAGCCTGCAGCATGCCCTTGTGTGCTGAAACACTGCAAGTGTAGCTTATTTCTTAACTGTTGCTTCACACTAACGGTCTTATCATGCTATAATCATAAATAGAACAAACCAAAACAATAACAAGCCGACATGTTTGTTGACAGTTTTCAAACCGATTCATTTGTATGATAAACGTGGTAGGCGCATGACGTCATACAGAGTCCGTGACGTGTACGCATTGCTTCGTGATCCTGACTATATGTGGAAAGAGGAAACTCTTGTAGCGAGTAATGAGCGTTTCTTCGGATCGTAAGCAACGATTTTATATGTCAGAGGCTACATTCTTTGAATTTTCCTTGGCTTTAGTGTGTTCTGCGGAATTGTTTTGCGCACCTCAAACGGGTTCCCTCACTTCTTCAATCCACAATGGTTTGTCGACTTGGTAAATTTCGCAAATTACAAGATACTGTTTAAAGATGGAAGCCGCTCAAAAAATGTAAGTCCTGAATTCCAGCCACAATCCTCGAATAAACACTCCTTGAATAAAAGTTCATACATTCAAAGCAAAAACCCAACAGAACGTGCTTAGTTCCTCCTCTTAAACCCTATTAGACGACAAAAATCGCTTTCGGGGGTACGTGTGCGAAATAAGTTCCAGCAATGTCTCCGTAATTTTAGATCACGAACAGCCACCGGAGGCAAATTGCGGCACATTGGTGGAAATTGGTCGCTTCCTCTGCCAAGTTTGCAGTTTCGGGGCTCAGAGTCAAGTGCCATTTTATGCCTCGATGCACAGGAGATGCACCAACTTGCATCTGAGCGGAGAAATAACCGGAAATACGTGATGCACTTTCGAGCGGAAGTCTGGTTTTAGTCGACTGCGCCAATTGAGGGAGCCATCAAACCGATTTCTGAGGATGCAAGTTGCCATTGAACTTGGTCGTTACCGTCGTGTTGTGTGTTTGTTCAGCGACAATTAATTCAAACGGGTTTTAATAAATGACTCTAGAATAAAATAATTACAGAATACTGAACACTAAGTCGTAATTTTTGCCTCGCCCAGCTTCGATTATCTCAAAACGGCCACTTATTACCAGTAATTAATTTTTTCAGCTGTTTATAAATGCACCTGATAATATCGGAAGTGCTGTTTTAAATCTTAATATTAATAATTACAGAAAGCAACACCTCCTCCACTTTTCCTTGTGTTTCTGTCGACGTTATGCAAAAACGTTGCGCAATTCTAACATTGCATCAGAAAATCAATACATCACCACCCTTCGATCCTCCGCCACTTTGCATCTGCTATGTTTTTCCGAAACTTATCGTTTCCGTGCATTTCTTGCCTAATGCCGCTTCCTGCTCCCCTTCTTCGGAAAATGAGCTGACACGATGTCGTAAGGCGAAAATTGGAACCTATTCCAAACAATATCCGTCTCGGGCAAGTCAAGTCGATTGATCGGGGTCTCAAATTTCATCATCGGAACAGTCCCGGCCCACAATTTACAATTGCATCCCTTCGGCAATCCACCGACGAAACGGCAGAGAAAAACGGAGTTTCGCATTCGAAAATGGGGACGGTTCATGAATAAGGGCCCAAATGCTTATTGGTTCGGGACGGCGAGGAATTCGGGGGTGGGGGAGCGTGTTTACATTTTATTGAAATCTATAAATTAGTGCGAATTTTGTTGTCCAAAGGCCAAATTAAATTAAAATCCGCAGCCAAAGTTTCGAAAAAGTTGAGCAGAGGAATTTTAGAATGGATAAAAACTCTCGCTGAGTTTTGAACTTCTAAAACGCTAAAGTTTCACGCGAAACGTGTAGGTTTTTGATTAAGAAAAAACTTGAGAGTTTAATTAATCATCATTAATACTCAAGTTTCTAAATGGGCGGGGCAAATATCCCGAAGCGGTGTTTAACCAGCTTAAAATCTACATGAAATATTTAAGGCGTTAAATCAGCTACATTTGTGTTATAATTTTTTTAAAATAAAGTAAAAAAAGCTAGTTGCCACGGCGAGCATCAGCATACAAGTCACACGTAATGCAAATGAATTATTTACGAGTGTGACTGCTGAATGACCAGGATCTGTTTACGATAGTCGTATTTAGAAAAAAATGGCTGTCTGTCACACGTTACAAACAACAATCAAGATTCCGCTGTTGGAGAGTGTCTGATGACCTCTCGTAAGAATCCCGAAACACCTCGAGAGATATTTTGTAATTTGGACAATTAGAATGACGCTTTCCATATTGCTAAATACCACAGGCTATCATTAAAATTAGTTCCAGCAGTCGTCGTTGCGTGTTTTGTCCTCCACAATGTGGCCAAACATGTAAGAGTTTTTTCAATTAGTCCTATACTTGTGATTTATGAATCCGCTTTGAGTTTTTACCCTTGGCAACCAAGAATCAAAATTTTATTACAACATATTATCATTGTTTAAGTATATTATAGTTGGACAACCTATACGGACAATCACTTTCCCATGTAGAAAAGAATGAATATATATTTTACATCTCACTCGCTTCACTATGAAGTGGCGGTACCTTACGAAAGGGGGTAAAAATAGTCCGTAAGCACGTGATGTCGATAAGGTAGTAAACGGACGTATTAATCAGTACGTTGTACGGGGAGCAGTCACAAAATAAGCAAACGTACGTGTTGAAGACTATACTGTAATATATGCGTCCCTTCGTCCACTTTAAAGGTATACGAAATTAAACGACCACTACTTTAATTAATAAGTAACAAGTCATCTAATTTGCCTCCAGAATAACTATGGATTATCATCAAACTATGAACACCAAATTAATTCAATATGAACATCTTCTTACGTATTTTTTTTATTAACAGTAGTCAAATCATTAAATACATATTATTTTTGAAACTAAAATGCATTTTATCCTAAGATTGTATCACAAAATATTCATCACCATTTAAATATATACGATTTAGACATCAAGAAATAAATTTAAAATTGCAAAAATTATACTAAAACAGCCTTAAATGTGTCTTGTATGTACGTGCTTATCAGTATGTAGGCATTTTAACGCACAGCAATAATCGTTCTTGATGAGTAATGACTGATGACTACTGTAACACAGTAAATCCTCGAAATCGAAAATTTAAAACACTGAAAAATTCAAATATGGGAAAATTGTAAAATCGTAAAATCGAAACATAAAAAAATCAAAAAAATTAAAATTGGAAAATCTAAAATTTAAAAATAGAGAAATTGAACAATCGGTTAATTCAAAAATCGAAACATCGAAAAATTGGAAAATCGAAAAATAAAAAAAAATTGGACAATCGAAAATTTAAAAATTCCGAAAATTGAAAAATTGAAATATCGAGAACTGAAAACTCAAAAAATCG